TTGGATTCAAAAATGACACATACCTTTATGTTGCATCCGGTGAAGTATATGGTGGAGAAAAATCTCTGCAGCCACTAAAGGAGCTGTTCCCAAACTTCTATACAAAAGAGATAGTTGCTGGTGATGAGCTGAAACCTTTTCTTCCCTACTCTTCTCGTCTTGCAGCAATCGACTATGTTGTGTGTGATGAAAGTGATGTCTTTGTAACCAACAATAATGGGAACATGGCTAAGATCCTTGCTGGTAGTAGGTGAGGATTTTCACTTAATTTTCTTTTTAGTACTTTCACATATCTGATCTAATATTTGTTCATTGGGGACATGTTTTTCATGCTTAATGGTGCACGTGTCTAATTTATTGAACTACCACATTAAGCAAAGAGGGAGAAACAAATTAAGATCCTAAAGCCCATTGTACTGTATGTCCACCACCCCCGCCACAACATACCAAGTGTGATGCCACAAGTCAGGTCTGGAGACGGTAGGTATACACAGACCTCACCCCGACCTACCTTGTGTAATGTAAAAAGGTTGTTTAAACTTAGCAATCAATATGGAGATCAAGTTTGCTGATTCTTAGTACTTTCAGATTAGATGTGATTTAAACGCCGGCCTATTTCCTTGAAAATAGGTTAATACTGGAACTAGAAGTGTTCAATTTCAACGTCTGTTCGTATGCAAATGGACTACGAGTTAAGAGCTGGTCTTTTCATAATAATATATAGTGGCAACTGAGAACTATGTAAATTGGAACTTCATTACAAATAGTTTCGATTCCAGTTCCTATCTTCTTTTTTTCACTATTGAGCTAATTGTTTTCTTGGTCGTACCATAGGAGGTACATGGGGCACAAGAGGACCATCAGACCAAATGCCAGAAAACTCAGTGCTTTGTTCCAGGCTCGAAATAAGATGGACTGGGACACATTCTCTAGAAAGGTGAAATCATGCCAAAGCGGATTCATGGGTGAACCTGAGGAAGTGAGACCGGGCCATGGAGAGTTTCATGAATATCCATCCTCGTGTATCTGTAAGACACCATTCAATCATTCAAATTTCAGAGAAAAATACAACAATCATACTTCCAGTGTAAATCCAAGTCTTCTGGATTCAAGATATGAGTACATACACAATATCAGTGACCTTGATGAGAAGATCTTGCAGAAACTATATTAGTGGAGGAATTTTGACAGGACAGATAAAGATATTATTATAAGAGACCCCTAGGACCCGGAGAATCAGTTCAATTGTAAAGACGCAACACGTCATGGACTTGAACCATGTCATGCAAAAGCCATATTATTTATATTTGGAGGAGGGTAGAGGGGCAGGAATATACTCCCTGAAGTCTCAGACCTTTGTGCGAAGTGCACTCTGGCCACAAGCCTACAGAATGAGTGAATCGTTGATCTGACTGTGTAAGTTACTTGGGTAAGTGTTGTACCATTGTCATATTGACATTGTATGTAAGTGCCTTCTTTTGGCAGAACTCGAGGGGCTGAATCCTTGCACTTGACACTGTCATTGTCCAGATTTCGTGTTTTTGGTTCATCGCTGTTTTTTCTAGAAAGTGATTTTTGATGTGCTACAATTGTTAATATACTTTTCTGTAAGATATGTAACAGCAAAGAAGAGAGAAAAGAAAAGAAACTCAGTTACCACTGTTTTTACCTTTGTATTCAGGTTGTTTTTAACTTCTTCTCAATACACCATCCAATGTTTCAACTTTCAACATCCCAGGTGAAGTAAATTATGAAAACTTCCATTTCCAATTTTCATTTCATCTCTATAATAAATAACTAAGAAACATCAACACTAGACATGATAGCTTTGTAGATGTGTATGTGGGTTGGTCAGAGTCATTTGAAAGCTATTGCCCTCCTTGGTTACTTGCATAAAATAACTGCTAATGTATTCTTTCAATACCTTCTTTGTACGGTCAGACATCTTGATAATATTTTTCAGGTTATGTTATATGTTTCTATAATAACATTTTAATATAGTAACAAAAAATTATAGGGACAAATAATATCGCTACAAAAAGGTTTGACTAAATAAAATCTTTACCTTTTAAAGAGCTAAAAATTATGTTTTTGAAAAAATAATAATTAAGTGGTACTGCACTAATCCGATACCTACCACACGAACTTGTAAACCAAAAAAAACAAAAAAGATGTACGCAATACATATATCAAGTCTTACCTTATAAGTAATTTATTTTAAAGAAGTATTTACATTGAATTATTATTTTCTATGCCATGCAATTTATATTATTAGCGGACGGTGGGGGATGAAGTACCAGGGTGATATTCTGCTAATAATTTATAATAAAAGTTGAAAATAATTTTTACTTTTTCATGTTTTTTTTAAAGAGGAGAGAATGGACACATTAGGCCTCCTCATGTAATAAACTCGATTAGAAGGTTAATCCCTATTAGATTTTGAACTTGAGATCTCCATTTTGAATCTGAACCACCCAAAGGGTTCAACTTTTCCATGTTTGGTAGTTAAAATGTTTCGAGAAAACAAATTTCATATAAAATTAAAAATAATGAATTTCCTAATGAAGGTAAAAGAAATAAGTTTTATGAATGAAATTCTAAATTAATTATCTCCTCCGATCCATCCAACGAACCCTCAAACCCTCTCTCTCACCTCACAACCCATTCCCATAATTTTTCTTCCTTATGTATAAATATTTTTCGAAAAAAAAACATTTTCCTCAAATACCAAACCCACCTTAGGTATCATTTTCAAAAGTTTAAGATAATCCAACAGTGGGCAATAATTTATTAAAGAGAATAATAATTGGTTAAGAATTGGGAACTATTCCAAGCACATCCATCATTATACTTAAATTAAATTATCATTATCATAATCATCAATATAAATATTATCATGATTCTCTTGCACCTTGGCACGTCATTTTAGTTATTCTAAAGAGGAAATATTTTTTTTTTCGCTCATGACGACATCTAGTATTTGTACTATTATGGAGTTTACCTTTTCTTCTCCTCTTATTTTTTGGCTCTAAAAAAGTTGGAGGATCATTTTTAAAATTTTGTACTTTCATTAATTAAGCTTATCTAAATAATATATTTAAAATTCATTTCTTAAAGGGAAATGACCCAAATATGTCATCGAACTTTGCTCATTTATGTCATCCGTTAAAAGTTTGGCTCATCTATGTCATTATTGTTCAAGAAAAGACTCATTCATGCCATTATTTTTAATACTGATTTTGCAAAATCATTTTTGACACGTGGTGAATTGTTGTTTGATCACGTCATCAATTTTTTAATTAAAAAAATTATAATTCTGAAAAAAAAATTGAATTAATTTTTTTTTGATCTTTTTTATTAAAAAAAATGATGATGTGGCCGAATTATAATTGGCCACGTGTCAAAAATGATTTTGCAAAACTATTGTTAAAAAATAATAGCATGAATTAGTCTTTTCTTTAACGGTAATGACATAAATGAGCCAAACTTTTAAATGATGGCATAAATAAATATTTTCTGAAAGTTCAATGACATATTTGAGTCTTTTCCCTTTCTTAAGTACCAATGCGATGTAATGTAACTTACTGTTAGAAATTAGAAAGGATAAAAGTCTCACATTAATTAAGGAATGGATTGATGGTCTACTTATATAAATTTAGACAGTTATTTTCTCGTGAGCTTGTTTTTGCGATTAAGTCAATCCTAGCTACCATATTTTCATATGGCATCATAATTAGACAATTTATGTTTGAACTCTCGATCCACGACAAAAACACCATTGAGAGACCAATTTTGCAAGAATTTCTCCACAAAGTTGTAACCTTTTTTTTTTTCAAGAAAACACTCTTGAGTAGTTTGTGATATAAAATATTTTTTAAAAATAAAAGTTTTATCTTATACGCACTAATATTTTCCATAAATTTTTTTAATATGGTCGGCTATTACAATAATGACACATACTATTTGTGGTGCGTAAAAATAAACAATTTTTAGTAAATATTTTACAACCATACCAAACACAACCTCATTATACATAAAACTTAATTATAATTATCATGATCATGATTAACACTAATGTAATGATTCCTTTGTGTGCTGGAACGTCATTTTAGTTGTTCTAAACATGAAAATAAAATTGTTCTTGACAACAGACATCTAGTATTATACGTTAGTGGAGCTTACTTTTTCTTCTCTTCTTTTTTTTTTTCTTTCTTAATTAAAATTTTTTTTTATCACTTTTTAAATGTTGTATTGGTTGAGCTTATCTAAACCAAGTATTTTTTGAATGTTCATTACAATGAAATATTACTTAGGGTCTGTTTGGTACCAAAAATATTTTTTCAATTTTCTTTTATATTTATTCGATCAAAATTTTATATAACATTTTCTCTGCAAAACAAACTTCTTTAAAATGAAAAAGCTGACTTTGAATATGAGAAAAAAAGAGTTTAACATTTTCTCTGCAAAACAAACTTCTTTAAAATGAAAAAACTGACTTTGAATATGAGAAAAAAAGAGTTTCCTAATTGACATTCCAGTCCTCACCATCCCACACCCAGCTCTATAGCCCCCTACTCCACACACACACCCCAATTTTTGTACAAACCCTTTATTTAAAAATAAACTGAATATTTATAAAAAAAAAAATTCATTATAAACAGATTATTATAAAATTTAAAATTCTGAATCCTCAAAGTTTAACCAGATTATGTAAAAATAATATTTTCTATTTATTTACCAAAACATTAAAAATTTGATAAATATTTTCTATCGTACCAAACACGCCCCGAGACATCTCAATGAGACCATTTATACGTACTACTATAATGTAATGAATATAAATCAAAAAAAAGCGTATGGGCGGTTGGGCGGCGCCAATCATTTGCCGGAGTCTACTAAAAATAGGCCCCATGGTCGGCAAAACCTAACAAATTACTACTATTATTTTTCCAAGTCTACTGTGGATATATAAAGAGAGTTTATGTGAAACAATGAGAACCATCAAGTTTTAAGTGACTTCAAAATTGAACTTTTAATTTAAGTACATTCTTTAGTGAGAGCCCAAAAAAAGAAAAAAATGGTGAAGATTGCCTTTGGTAGCATTGGTGACTCTTTAAGTGTTGGGTCATTGAAGGCTTACTTAGCTGAGTTTATTGCCACTCTACTCTTTGTATTTGCTGGTGTTGGATCTGCTATAGCTTTTAGTAAGTCACATTTTCCCAACGTTATACACGTTATTTATTTGTGCATATCTATAAAATGTTATTTTCACGACTTGAACGTGTGACAATTTGATCACATGGAAACGAGACAATCTTTGTCATAATATAGAGTATTAATGTAATTTTTCCTTTTTTTGCAGATAAGTTGACTTCAGGTGCAGCTCTTGATCCAGCTGGTCTAGTAGCAATAGCTGTGGCTCATGCATTTGCATTGTTTGTTGGGGTTTCCATGGCAGCTAACATCTCAGGTGGACATTTGAATCCAGCTGTCACTCTGGGATTGGCTGTTGGTGGAAACATCACCATCTTGACTGGCTTATTCTACTGGGTTGCTCAATTACTTGGCTCCACTGTTGCTTGCCTCCTCCTTAAATATGTCACTAATGGTTTGGTATGTTGTTTCACTATGAACATACTATTGAATTAATTAAATAGACTCTAATGGGCGACCGCGACCGTGTTGTACTAGGCTTATAAGCTGATCAAATTAGGACTATTCTTTTCAGCTACTTATAATCTCCTAACCAAACGGGATCGTTATTGGATTTTTGCAGGCTGTTCCAACTCATGGAGTTGCTGCTGGGATGAGTGGAGCTGAGGGAGTAGTTATGGAGATAGTCATCACCTTTGCACTTGTCTACACTGTTTATGCCACAGCAGCAGATCCCAAAAAGGGCTCACTTGGAACCATTGCACCCATTGCAATTGGTTTTATTGTTGGTGCCAACATTTTGGCAGCTGGCCCATTCAGTGGTGGATCTATGAACCCAGCACGATCATTTGGGCCAGCTGTCGTTGCTGGAGACTTTTCTCAGAACTGGATTTACTGGGTCGGACCACTCATTGGTGGAGGATTGGCTGGGTTTATTTATGGAGATGTCTTTATTGGATGCCACACACCACTTCCAACCTCAGAAGACTATGCTTAGAACAAAGAAGAAAGAACAAGTCTTCAACAGTGTTTTCTTTCGTGTGTTTTCAAAAATGCAATGTTGATTTTAATTTAAGCTTTGTATATTCTGTTACGCAAGAAGTTTGTTTCCAATGAAATATCATGTTTGGTTCATTTTGACAACGGATGGTTTTGAAGTTTTGACCTTGCTTGCCTCGTGTGTGAAACTTACCATAGTTTGAAAAATTGAAATGTTAAAACTAAAGTCATTCACCCAACAACTTAAACTGAAAATAGCCAGAATTGGTATAATATATGTATAACTCATGTACAATATGTGTGTAATTGAAATATTAAAACTAAAGTCATTCACCCAACAACTTAAACTGAAAATAGTCAGAATTGGTATAATATATGTATAACTCATGTACAATATGTGTATAATCTTTGTATACCATCTAGGAAAAGCAAACAATGAGTCTGACCAACTATTTATGTAAAGGTCTAAAAAGTTTGTTGAATTGGTACAAACCAGTCAATTCTTCAGTTTTGCTTAATAATGTGTTGTACAAATTAGTTGTATAATCGTATACTAGTTTCACAAGACTAACATACAACTTTCCTGTATGACAGACTAAATTTAGAGAGAATTATGTTGAATACCCTCGTTCTCTCTTCAGTTATACTTAAAATACAACAGTCTTTTCTTTCTCATATGGTAAAACACGTAGTTCGCAATATGATTTAATCGCTTTTACTAGACACTGTTTCTCAAGATCCTCAGACTTCTGAATAAAGCTTTGCAAATTATCTCTGTGGGTAACTCTTTCAACCTGAAAGAAGATAGGTTTAATTTGTATAAGCCTGATGTTGAAATTCTAAAATGATGGTAAACATAGATCAGATGATACATGGATCTCTTAGGGGGCGATTCACTAAGATGGTGTTAGCTTTAATCAACAGAAACAGCTACGGTGTTACCATCAGAACATAGGTTGGGTAATATAAGGTAGCATCGAAGCATTCGAGTTATTAACAAGATCCAAACTAATGGCTTTAAGGGATCTATGATTATGATTGATCGCTATGAAGATGCAGATCTTAGAGGAGGTTCTTGTGGGAATCCTGCTAAACCATACAACTTATTCTAGACCATGAAAGAACAAGTTGGAGCATGACATGATACAAAATGATCTCCACGATTGTGGACAATGTATCAGAGGCCAGCATGGAAGAAGAGACTAGAGTGGGACACAACTAAAAATGTCTTCATGATTGTGGACACATTTCAAAATGTCTCCACAATTGTGGACACATTTCAGAGGATAACATAGAAGAAGAGGCTGGTGTGGGACACGACCCCGAGGTGTTTTAAGCCATTCTATTTATAGGGGATTGTTGTGAATTAGTATAAAGAAGTTACATATCAAACAAGCATACTCTTGATAACGTCACAAAGTAATGATCCATAAATCATGATTGTTGGCACATCTTTAGCTTCATGAAGCAGCACAAAATCAAAAGAAAGAGAAAAGCTAGTTAGGACTACCATCATAGAGTAACAAGCTGTTTAATACTGAAAATGCAGGTCGAATCCTAAAACTAATTTGGAGTTATAATGCACATAAGAATAATTACCATTTGCTCGATGATAGGGCCTGCATCAAGTACTTCACTAACAAAGTGACTTGTTGCACCGATCAACTTAACACCAGCTTCAAAAGCCTATCAAAAGTTAAAGAATAAATGCTTTAACTTTGTAAATTATCAACATAAAATTCCACAGAGATGAGTAGAAAATGACATCTAAAGAAAGGGGTCTGGAAATTGAACCTGCTTAGAAGGACTCCCACCTTTGAATGATGGCAAAAGGCCATGATGAATATTAATGATATCCTTTCCATAACTTTTTAAGAACTCTGCAGAGAATACCTGCAGAAATAAGTGCAACTTTAAATCACAAAAGCAACTTAAACAGTGAAGTGCAACGTTTTTAGGACTTTGTAATGCTGAAGATCATAATTCATCTAAACTGTAAACAACTAGTTTAAATCATTCAATCCGAACCACTTAATACAAACAATAGAAAACAAGTTATGTGACAAATAACTTGCGGCTGGTGACCAGAAGAATAGCCGTTATAATCAAGAGAAAACACAAGAATTCGATGTCCCAGAACTTTGATTACCTGCATGTATCTTGCAAGTACCAAAAAATCAGTGTCATGAACTAAATCCAAGATCTCTACTTCTCTTTTCTTCCCCATAGTTGTTGGCAAATAATAGTATGGAATTCCATGCCTTTCAAGTAACCGAATCACATGAGCATCTGGACCTCGATCATGGTTGCTGTTAAACAATGAAATCATTTTTCACATGATAACTAATTCTTTTAATAGAAAATAACTAGTATAGTGAAGAAATTGCTTATGCTTAACCTTATTACAGAGGTTATGTCAACAGGAAGCCTACCATTCTGCCACCTGTGCAATAAATCTACAAGACAGTGGTCCTGCACCAAGTTAACGACATGTTTAAAATAGAACTTCTAAAAAGGTTTATATATTTCAGCACAGTTCACATAATCAGCTGTTGACCAGCGTTGGAATCAGAACCTGCTTCGAAACAAGAACTGCAATCTTATATTTGGGATCTATTTCAGGAACACGGACGACAGACTTCATTGCATTGAACATCTTTGATAGCTTAAAGAAGTCCTCATCCATTTCTCCACGGGGCCATCTAGCGGGGTCAAACGTAAACTCACTGTCATTGAAGCAAGAATTAGTTGCATTCTTCTTATCACTTACAAAGACTAATATTCAAGGTATCTGACTAAGTGTTACTGCTAGTTCTGAACATATACCACATAGTACACCTTATAGAGGCACATAAGTACCATTGGTTTATTACATCTTGCTAAATGAACATTTGGCCCCTTTAACCACAATAGGAAATGAAGAAAAATACAGCTCATTTCAACATGCTTCATAAGATTTTAAATGACACATAGTATTAAGTTCTTCCTAAATAAACAGATCAAATTCAAAAGATAACTGTTCAATCTTCACTATCTAGTGTCTTCCATGCTAATATAATGCAAGATGCAATTACGTAGCATAAGGATAAGGTACGACAAAGCCAAATTTTTTCTAAGCTAATATGTATAGTCTCTAGATATGCAGGAATATAAAGCAGTGACATGCTTAAACATCCCCTTTTTGCGAGGATTGCTTGACAATATTTTGGGTTAAGGTGAAGTCCCACTTTTATTGTGCTTCTACATTATTTTTATATATATATATATCGCTAGGATCGGAATCCTACAAATTTTTCTGATACTCAAATGTAAAGACCTAATGTAACACAGGATGGATTGCTCAAACTTAGTATTCATTTGATTACATAGATAAATATAAATCTGTTTATGATTTGCTACTCTCCTAGCACACGAAGTTGATCGACTATCAAATCACTCTCTACTGATGGAAGCTTGTAGCTGCAAGATTATATAATACGTCATCAGAATGGTCCTCTAACATCCTTATCAGCCACAGGTACCTATGTTACTACTTATGCTACTATGTACAAATCAAGAATGATTCATCAGTCTGTATTACTGCTATTAAAAAAGTTCTTCTTGTTGTTTTACTGCTATAAATAAATAATCAATGTTTTCTTCTCGTTGTTTTTGACATCAAACATAGTTAATAAAACTCATCATGATCAACCATAAATTGCAAAAACAAATTTCTTATTAAGGAGGAATGAAGAAATAATGTAAAAACATGTGACACTATGCAACTGACAGAATAAATTCTTCAAATCGTTGCCTGGCCCCGAAATGAGAGACAATTACAACTCAAGAAAGTAAGAAAAAATACCTTCTTGAGTAAAAGACATTGTTGTCTTGTGGAACAAAAACATCCGCAGTGAGAATATTTCCGCCCCTCGAAGCTATGCAATCAGATAGTTTTGCAACAATTCCTACTTCATCCTATTAACATAAAAAAACAATTCAATTGTCGTCTCAGTAAGATAATTACTGGTGGTGCTGGGCATAAGAAAACTTACTGGACAATGAAAGACATGAATGCCATGTAAGAGGGAATTTGAGGACCCAAATGGGAATTTTACAGATTTCAGTGACCTTTTTGAATATTTACAAACTTGTGGACCAAATTTTGGGGATACCAATCTCCAGAGGAGGTTCATGTCCTTCGCTTACACTTTCCAAAATCTGTTGCTATGTATCAGTCAATTTATAATCTTATCTTTTAATATTATAGTCTTATCTCACATTTGCCCAACTTACAGCTTACAACTTCAACCATAGCCACAATCTCAGAATTAAGACCTTTGGACAAAACTAAGTTGGTGAGTCGAAAGAAGAGAATATTTCATGTCGTTAGAAAAATTATTTAATTATATTTTCAATAATTGGGATATTCACATCCCATCATTTATATATTAAAATCATTGTTTGCTTAAGTGAAATATATATCATCTACTAGAATGTTTCTATCTGAAATTTGAATTTGAAATCTCATAATTTTTCCACTTTATTATATATATCATGTCATATTCAATTAAAATCAGGGGTGAATTTAACGTATATAATAGAGATTTTTGAGAATGTAATAGTTTTTGTGGGAATTTTATATTTGTACTTTAAAATATATATATATATATATATATATATATATATATATATATATATATATATAT